TCGGGAACAAACTAAAAACAAGAGAGAAATAGTATACACCATCAAGCAAGGAAATGATACCCTGAAAATGCAGTGCTTGAAGAAAGTCCTAAATTCATGTAACCAAAGCATAAAGCACTGATAGCAATCATACACGTATAGCTCAGACATGCATGTGTCTACAATCCAGGCTTACAGGATCAGAGCGTGGCTATATCTGACCACCACCTCTCACCCACTTCCCCAACCCATTTCCCCAGGAAGACCATTCCTCAGAGTCCAGAAGAAAAGTATATTTAGGAATGACTTCGGGAATCTCCATACAGTAAATTGAAATTTGAAGACTTAGACTCTCATCCCCAATCTGCCCTGACTTGTTTTGTAATGCCTGATGCACCATTAGCCATGCTTGTTTTCTGTCTGGTGAACAGGAAGGTGGATAACATAAATTATGGGGTCTTAGAATTATGTCCTTGAGATGAGCCTTATCTCCCTGTACCAAAGGGACTGTTGTCCCCAGAGTCAAGAGGATGAGTTGAAGGCCACAGTGAAGCTCTCATCCCTGGTTCTATTTTCTTCTGCGAAAGGCATGGCTCTCTACTACACTGAAGGGAAGAAATCTGAGTCTGTCCTTTCTTATTTCATTTTTAACTTCTCATCAGCTTCTTCTCAAAGACTCTTTCAAGGCTCCAAATCCAACCTGCCCAGGGAGATGGAAGGAGGAGGGAGGGAAATGAAGAATATTAAGCTGATAGACCAAGCAAAAGGACTAGTCTTTAAAAAGAACCAAGAAAGCTCTGGTTTAACTCCTTGAGAGGCCAGGACTTAAAAAGTAGGTAGCATCTGTAAAATGAATAAAAATCACGTTCACTAGTGAAGGCTAACCATTTTGAAGTGAAGGCAACTCTTAACAACAGAGTCACGGAGGCGTTTTGTAACAAACTCCTTCATCCTCTCTTCTATATGATGCTAATAAGAGTGTGCAGTATTGCTCACACTGTCTGGCTTCTGTTGGCTGTGAGCAGTACCAATTCCCAATTATTTTTTTTTTCCGCCCAGAATCATAGCTTAAGGCTCCTTCTACAAAAGATCTCGACAGAAGTCCCTGGACAGAATATCTTCTCAAGGTTTTCAGTTTTCGCTCCTTGCTAAACACTCCCAAGGGGTTTCCTGCCACACCACAGATGCAATGTAACCAGGATAGGCTCCCTCCATGGGATGAGGAAGGAATAAAGGCCTCTAAGCAAGAGCCCAGGCTTAGCTGCTATTTTCTCTTCCTCGACTAAGTACTGCAGCCTCCCACCACCAGCCAAAAATACCATTTTGATGAAATATTAGAGTACATACCTCTCTACAGGAATCAGAAAATAATACCTTCCACTCAGGCTTTGGTTCAAGCAGAACTTTTTTAAAAAAAATATTTTCCAATAACTGTTTCCAACATCAAAAATAATAATAATAATAACCATCCTGACTTTCTGGGAGCACTGGTGTCCCTCTCTTCTGTGGATTACCTCCTTTTACATTTGTTTTGTCTTGTTTATTGGGAGTGAGGTAGGGGTTACTCCCTGTGGTGCTCAGGACTTACTCCTGACCTTGTGCTCAGGGATCACTCCTGGTAGTGCTCTGGGGACAGATGCAATGGCAGGGACCAACTTGGGTCAGCTGCAAGCAAGGCAAATGCTTTCATTCCTGTACTCTCTCCACTTCCCAACTGTATTTAAATCATTGTTTTCTCTTGTTTTACCCATCAGATTCAAGCTCCTTAAAGACAGAAGTCCTATCTCCCCCCAACTCATCATGCCAAATTGATAAACCCATCAGTCACTTCATCTCTGAATACGTAATGAGCAGGCTGAGCAGTTGCAAAGTCACACTTCCTGTCAATTTTCAATTTTGATCCTAATGAAACCTGTGATGTCTCCTTCTTTTTTTTTTTTTTTAGTTTATATTCACGGGGTGGGGGAGAAGACCAGCTCAGCTTGGGGGATGAAGAGGAAGAGCGACCTCTCCTTCTTGAGGAGGTGGGGGAGGTGCATGCTTGTTCTCATCCATTTGGAAAACTCAGGCTCACTCTCTCTCCCTCTCCCTTCCTCCCTCTTTCTCTCTCTCTCCCTATCCCTCATCGTATCTTTCATGATACGATGAATCTCTGTGGACTGGAGAGATAGTACAGTGGGTAAGACACTTGCCTTGCAGCTATCTCACCTGGGTTCACTCCCTGAACCCTAAATGAACACTAAACAGAGTCCAGAGTATGAACTGAGCACACTGAATATGGCCCAAAAATCAAAACTGAAAATGAAACAAAAAAAAAAAAACCCCAAAAAACACCCCATGCATCTCCAATAGGGTCCAGCTACTGTAGGTTCAGAGGACTGCTTGTCCACCTTGAAAAAATGGTCCATTCTGGGGAATGGCTGATTCATAACTCTCTCATTATTGATCCACGTATCTCACTCCTTGGCTTTATTCATTTGTTGTGTCCACATTTAATGCTTTTAAATTATGCAAATACTGCTATAAATTCTCTCTGAGTTAAGAGTTTATTATGTAACTATCCAGGAAAAGAACATTTCCCCTGAACATTCAGTGTGTCCTGGGGGCATCTGAGCAGTCTCGTGGTTCCTTTTACTTTCAGAGAGGTTGTATCTTGTGCAAGCCATGCTGTAAAAATTCACAGGTACACCAGTCTCCTGGCTGAAAACTCTCAGTCCCAGCCCTGTTGGAGCCCTGGCAGATACACCCAACACTCCACCACTGCTGCCATGCCAATGGCCTAACTCCACTGTTTCACAACTAATCTCTGCAGAGATGCCAAACTGCCAAACATTCCTGGTATACCGGTTTTCAGACTGAAAACTCTGGGGTCTTCTCAGAGTTGGGGGGAGGGACAGCCTCCTTCACCTTCAGAAGTCCCGCAGCCACCTCCACATCCCACAACTGCCACCACGCAAACTTGTAGCCGAATTACATATCTTGAAGGGCGCAGCCACACTTGTGGCAACAAGCACAGCACCTCCAAAGTCCACAGAACTGACATCCCAGTAGGAGCACCCCAAATTAGGTGGGAAAGAAACAGAGAGGACAACTAGGTGCAATAAACAAAAACAGAAGATCCAACTAACAAAGAACAGCTTAGGAAGAATTAATGACCCCAACTTGAGATGCAAATTTTTCACACATTTTATTTTATGGAAGTATTTTTGATAATCCCATTAGCCAACGGGCTTTGCCAAACAATATACAATAAATTATTTTGTGCCTACTAATGAGGAAGGCTGGGGGGGTGGGGCTGAGAAAATGATAACAATGGTGGAGGGACAGTAGCACTGGTGGTGGAGTTGGTATTGTAATTTAAATGCCTATAACAACTGTACTGTGAACAATTGTCAACCACAGTATTTAAATAAAGGGAGAATTAAAAAAATAGTAATAGAAGTTGCACTTCAATCAAATTGAGCCATTTTCTTCCCTCAGAAACTTCAGAAAGGTAGGCACCATCAGTATGTATTCAGAATATTAAATTAAAATGTTAATAACTGTCTCCTTCAGAGAAATGAAAAAACATTATAATATAAAAGGGCACTAAAGCAGGGCATATGTGCTAAAGTTAAATTAAACATTCCTCTCCCTTTTCTTGCCATGTTCTTTCTTATGGGAGAAGAGCATGGTTTAGCCTCTTGGGCTCAGCTCAACTGAAATAACTAAAACCTCTAAACAAGATTCGTCATCAAAACCAATTGCCAAAATTTCAGACAACTTTCGATATGCCAGACACAGTAACAACAAAGTCTCCAATGGAGACGTTGCTGGGCCCGCTCGAGCAAATCGATGATCAACGGGAGGGCCTCTACTTCCTCTCCCTCCATAATGCTCTTTACATTCCTTTGGGAAGGAGTAAAGCCTCTTTTTCCATACTAAAAGGAGTCTTTGCACAAGAACCTGCCTTATAAAACCTGTCTGTTAAATTGGTTCTACTACATTTAAATTTTTCTTTTTGTTCTAATTAATTATAAAGTTTTATTGATGAAAGATCTAAATAATTGAAGGGATATGCAATATTCAAGGATGAAAAGATCCAATATTATAAGGATAAGTCAATTCCCAAATTGATCTATAGATTCAACATAATATAGACTCTAATATTTAAGAAGTTTAGACTGTAAAGCTTAACGTTAATATTTTCATGATAATCTTCTAGTTACAGTGTTAAAGTTGGCTAATATGTCCAGCCCAAGAGACTCAATCATCTCTAGGTGCAAAAAAAGGAAGTATGACAGGGAGAAGGGAAGGTACAAAGTGCCTGTAATGTAAAGTGATCTTCTGTCAAATAAAAGGAGGGTACCAGCTGTGCATCTCACAGTGATTCAATTTATAAATGGGCGGGGGGGCATTAATAAAGAGAAGGCAGCATGAGCCAAGGAAGTCAAACCTAGGTTCCCCCAAAGGAGAGCGAGAACAAAAGGGAATGCCCTGCCACAGAGGCAGGGTGGGGTGGGGGGGATATGGGGGATGGTGGAGGGATGCTGGGATTATTGGTGGTGGAGAATGGGCACTGGTGGAGGGATGGGTACTCAATCCTTGTGTGACTGGAATGCAAGCACAAAAGTTTGTAACTCTGTAATTGTACCTCACAGTGATCCTCTAATAGTAAAATTAGTTAATTAATTTTTAAAAATAACCTAGGTTCCTTGATGTCGTTGCTGATAAGCTCTACTCTTTGACAAGTGGGCAGACCCAATACAGCATGTGCACAGAGGTGCCTTGGATCTCACCGCTGCCAACCCAAACAATTGTGTTTCAGATGAGTTGTGATGTTTTTATTTTAGTCTTAGCCACATCTAACATCACAGAAAGGAGCTGTGTTCCTAGGTGTGGAAAAATGGAGCCACATTTTAGACGGCTGCAACGCGGTCAGTGAGCTTTCAATCATCCCCGCTCAGAACTATAGAAACCTTGAGAGTGAGACAGACCCGCACACAGTTGAGTCACGTTATGAAGACAAAGCTGACACCTACGCTCCAGTCCAGAGTGGCTCTGGGCTCCTTGGCTGGACCGTTGGCCACAGGAAGGCTGAGGGGGTGTGCCGGAGCCAGGTGCTGCAGTCCTGCCCGGGATATTGCTTTCCTGCAGCAAGAAGACAAAAATAAAAAAAAAATAAAAAATAAAAAAAAACACAAAGAAAAACCAACATCAGAAGATAAGATAGAGTTAAAAATTTCCCATGGAGTTGAAACACTTCATGAGTTCGTTTTCTACACGTAAAAATGTTTGCAAACGTTCTGGAATAAATCTCTCTGCAGCGCATGGCTAAGCTAGAAGGTAGGAGGTATGACTGCCAGGGGGATGGAGAGACTGAGAGGGTTACTTGCAAACCGCATGGCTCCAAGACCAGAAATGAAAACGAAAGGGTCCAATCAAGTAGGAGAAAGTAGAAAGGCAGTTTCTTAGGGGTTGGGTGGTTCCGACACTTGAAAAATTGGGGCTGGGAGGTGTTTCCACATTCTATTTTTACTCTTTTGTTTTGTAGAACTAGGGCTCAAACCCAAGGCCTCATGCATGGTAGGCACGAGCTTTACCACTAAGCTATATGCCCTGGTCCTTTCCTAGATAATTTTTTAAGATTCCAGAAAGTAAAAGAAAAAAAGAGGGGAATAAAAAGAAAAATCAAGCCCAGGAAGTCTTTCCTGCAATTCCTCCATATGCCACAAATTACATTTCATTACAGTGCCAACAAGCCTGCCTCCCCATTTCCCTGCAGGGAACATCTACAGGTAGCTTGAATTCTAAATGGCCAAAGAGTGCTATGTATTGGCCAAAACAACAATAGTAACAAAGTCCCACCATTGAAAGCTTGATATTTCCTGCTAGGAAAACAAGGAGCAACAACAAAGGCATGTTAGTTGGACCTGAGGTATGCAGAGTGGAGCAAGGTGGAATTCAAGCCAGGAAGGTGGAGATGGATCAAGAGTAGTTAAGAATGCCAGCCCTAGTCTTGGATTCCAAGATAAGAAATGAGAGGTACTGGGGCTGGATGGATAGCACAGAGGGTAGTGCATTTGTCTTGCATGCGGCCAACCTCGGTTCGATTCCCGGCATCCCATATGTTCCCCCAAGCACCGCCAGGAGTAATTCCTGAGTGCAGAGTCAGGAGTAACCCTTGTGCATCACCAGATGTGACCCAAAAAGAAAAAAAAATGAAATGAGAGGTGCAGCTTCCTCAAGGCAATCTGACTATCGCTGAGCTGGTGGGGTGGGGGTGGGGAGGTTGGAGACAGCAGTGGGAGCACGGGGAGAGGATAACAGCAGGAGAGAGAAAGCAAGCAGGGATCGCCAAGGGAGCGCATGTTGTGTCATCCATGAAAAATAGTTCCATTTCTGCACAGCTCTGTCAGGATTGTCAGGCCAGGTCTCAAGCAGAAATATTGAGTGCCGATTTGTGAATTAGTTAAGTGATTCCCTGGAATGGAGAAAGAGCAATGAAGGCTGAGAAATTCCTGAATGCAAAGCAGTGGACCTGCCGTTCTGAATTCCACATTAAGCTGGTGGTGGTGGGCGGGGGAGGCCATCCTGGGAGAGCCCTGAGGGAAAGCATCCCTGGTGACACGATGCACGTTACCCACAGATGCTCCCTGCTGCCTGCCACATGAGGACAGGAAGTTGCGAAGGGAAGAAGTAGAGTGTGGTTTGGACATGAAAGCAGGAAAGTTGCAGAGCCTTTGGGGCCCCACTCCTGCCACCAGATAAAGAGAAGGGCCACCAAGAGTAAGGTGTGGGAGAAAGGCAGTGAACACAGCTCCGGATGGCTGAAACCCATCAGGACTTCCTGACAGAGCTGCTGAAGGAAGGAGAGACTTCTAAAGGGCTCTGGAGACTTCGGAGACTCCAGAAGCTTTGCTGGACTCCAGAAGTCAGATAGTCTCTCTGTGTGATCACTGAGCTCAGCAGATTCTACCCAGGGAATGGACTTTATATGCTGAGCAGACCCCAAGACCCAGGAAGGGCTGGGTAGGAGCCAGGATTTGAAGTCATTAGTCAGTGATCAAATACACTGGAGAACTCAGCAAGCATTTAACTTTCTCTCTCTCTCTCTCTCTCTCTCTCTCTCTCTCTCTCTCTCTCTCTCTCTCTCTCTCTCTGTCTCTCTCTCTCTGTCTGTCTGTCTTAAACTGTGGTATTCCTACACAGTAAATTCCAGGCCTTGCAGACCGGTTTTCAGCTATTGACAGCAGTCATTTCAAGCTTGCTGGTAGCCTACTTTCAAAAGCTCCCACTGGGCAGGAGGCAATGTACTTGCTTTATATAAATCTCCAAAGAGTCATGACAAATATGTAGGCCTTTAAAGAAGACAGTGTGATGGCCCAGTATCTCATTTCTCACTTTTATCAAGGCAAATCATTATCATCATCAATTTGGCCCTCACCCCAAAGTGTATCCCATATCACTGAACAGTAAACAACAAGAAGCACGAAAGAGCCTTAAATAGCGATACTTCCTCCCGCAATGTGTTCATCTACCTGAGTTCAAGGAGCTTTCATTCTTTTTAGCAGCTTTTCATGAAAAGTTTTCTCTGATTTTGAAGGGCTGTGAGTCATGATTTTCATCACTTTTTTGTGCTGTCAGAAACTACCTTTGATTTTAGAGTCAACACCATCTAAATTTAGGTGCTTGAACAACAACGAAAAATACCAACAATGCCCAAGCATGAATCCTTGGAAGACCTAAATCTAGGAGGAAAGAAAAAAACACAGATCCTTCCCCTTATCATGAATAATCATAGAGTTGTGATAGACAAGAAGGTGCAGATGGGGAGAAAAGAGGAAGATAAAGGTGGAAGAGAAAAAAGGCAGAGGATAAAGGCGCGCACACACACACACACACACACACACACACACACACACACGGGCACAGTTCTTCATTCTGGCTCGCCTTTTGCCTTCAGGACAGCTGGCAAAGCTTAAGACCTATGACAAGGAAGAAATACATATCATCCAGGAGATGCAATGAGGCGAGGAACATAAGGCTTACCAATTAATTCTGAAGCCCACCTTCATGTTTTTTTTTCAAGAAGTAAGACACAAGCTTCCTAACACACTTCCCCCATTCTCCAACCCACGCCCCTAACACCACACCCACACACACACCTTACCCTTACCCTGTAAATAATCTCTGAAACAATGTTTTGAGAAGGCAGATCTAAGCACTATTCTGACCTTCCCTGCACTCTGGACTGCAGTACAAGGCCTTCCCCTTCTGGAGAAGCTAGTGTGATGGTGTTTTCTTTGTGGTACAAAAAAAACAGCAGACCCACATCCGCATCACTGTGACGGCAAAGTTGAGTTCCTCAGCAGTTGTGCACTGGAAGCACCAAAGCCTGATTATTCTTCCTAATTAGGGCCATCAGAAGGGGGAAATCACTCAAATACTCAAATAATCAGATTAGGACGTGAGGGATTCATGTGTCTTTCAAAAGGGCAATGTGACTCCAAGATAAAAGATATCTAGAGCCATTGCCAAGCCTGGAGAAAGCCAACAATACAGGTTTCCTCAAATCACAGTCCCTCCGAGCCTGCGAAGAGGAATGATGAAGAGCCGTTGGTGAGCATTTATTCCTCATTTTTGAATGAAAATTTAAGGTTGGTTTTCTCCTGCACTGGTAGAAGAAAACTGAGTATCCACTGAACATGAAAACAGAAATCACCAGAAAAATAAGCAGGAAACATCAATGTGGCTGCATTTTAAGGGTGCACAAGCCTCCTGAAAGGGCATTACTTAAGAAAAAAAGACAAATTGATATAAGTATGATGGAGGGTATGGAGTAGCTTTTGATTATAGTTTTCAATTCTTCTAAGTAACCATGGGAAAAAGGCCCCTTTTCCATTATTTCATATGTGCATACACATTTTCTTCTAAATAAGAAAGTAATTTCATTATTTCTCAGACCTCAACTAAATTAGTGTAGATTATTTTTCCATTTGTATTCATCATGGTTGTAGAAGACATTTAAGAGTCTGTCAGTCTTTTAGAAATTTGATGTACTGGGGAAGGAGGGAGCAAATATTTTTGGAGGAACTGCAAATTTGCTCCAAAAAATATGCTGAGGGCCCCAGGATGTGACTCGGAGGTAAAGTGCATACTTTGCATGCATAAGAGATCTGGATTCAATTCCTGGTGCCCCCAACATCCCCCCAATACACGCACACACACACAGACACAGACACACACAAATATAGTTCGAAAAACAAATGAGGTTTCATTTCTCATTCTTTTCTGCTCAGAATCCTCCCTAATCCACAGTGGGTAAAACCGTGAAATGCCAATGATTCTATTAATTTTACAACAACACTGTGTCAGAGATGACTATTATGGACAGAGAATTTTTTTAAAAGGAGAACTGAAATATTAACTGCAAAATATATATGAAAATTAAATACTACACAATGCAGTTTAAGGTGCAAAAAGTCACTGTTAAAGTCAATTGGCTGTCATGAAAGGCTTCACAAATATTTAAAATATCAAAGCTATCATACATTTTAAATAGCTATAATTTCCTCCACTTCATTCAAGAACACTATAAACTCCAAAAGGACAGTGCTCAATTCTTCTCCAAATCTTATTAAATTCTCACCCATGGGCAGATACAGCACATATTCAATAAATGCTCTGCAAGTTAATGAATGAACTTGACCGAGAAGCTAAGAAAAACCAGCTCGTTGATTACATCTGCGCTGTGAAATCTGATTAGGATGATGTGAATTATACCCCAGGCCTTATATTTCAGTGAGATTTTTTTCCTGAGAGGATAAGAAATCCTTCAAAGCAGCTATTCAAAGATAAAAGCAAATAGAAATAGAATCCAGCATTAATAAGCTTAAGGGAGATGGGCTTGAGAGATAGTACAGGGGTCAGGCACTTGCCTTGATGTAGCTGACCCTGGTTTAATTTCTGGCACTACATAAAGTCCCTAGCAACACCAGGAGTGGTCCCTGAGCACAGAGTCAGGAGTAAGCGCTAAGCACCACAAGGTATAGCTACCCGCAATAATGTTTCATTTAAATTTAAAGAGGAAGTCTAAATTATACTTTAAAAAGAAGTCTAAAGGACATAACAATGGCGTTGTGGGGGCC